CAGAGCATCCAAAAAATTTTATTCTTGAAATCAGATCAGACCCTGACGAATTTGCTTATCATCTTATGAAAGGTTCAGGAATTTATGTCAGAAGTGGCTGGTGAAGTAGTTCATATTATAGAATGTGTACCTGTTGAAGTTAGAAAACATAATATACATCAGAGAATAAATCCGCAGTTTTGGATTTTGTAAAATCTGTTACCAGATTCATATAATTCAGCGACTGCTAAAACCCCCGAATCCCAATTTTTATAAAGATTTGTTAATGTTTTCATTTTTGATCTGCAATTTCGAGTTTTCAGAATCAGTTACCAGATTTGAATTAATCGACTCTAAAACCCTTCCAGTATAATTTATAACGAATTGTCTATTATCTATTTATTATCAAATTGTCTGATTGAAATAATTAAACTATTAAAAATCTTTTAATTTTTCAACCTTCAAATATCCAGAAATTTGCTCCCCACTTGGCAAATTGAATTCCATTTTTATGAAACCTAAAAAAAATTCTTGAAAGCTCACCGCGTGTAAAATTATTCGTTCACTGTCGCAAATTATTTCCCTTTGTACACTAAGTTATACAATAAATCCACGTGAGCTGTTTCTGAGTTAATGTAAAATTATCAATTTTAAAAGAAACTTAAAAAATTTTTCAATTTTATGTTAAGCTTGGAATATATATTCGAAAGTTAGCCCTCTCAATTCTTAACGCCCATAGTCGTTAAGCGATCTAGTGGGAAAAAAAGGAGGCTATAAGTTGGAAAAATATGTAGACGCGCCACTCTGTATCTCATACACTGTTAGATGTATAGCACAAGACTGCAGATAGAACTTTCGTCTTGTCTTTGTCGAGAGAAAATTGCTGGTGAACTGAATTTTTATCAGAACGTTACTTTTAGAAGTCGTTATCTTTATACTAGGGGAATTTCATGCTTCCGCAGACTAACATACTGGAGATGATAGAGAAGAGCGAATAATCAAATGAGCGGATGAAAGAAAAATAGGAATGAATTGATATAAGGTACAAAAAAAAGAAGAAAATGAAGATAGGAAAGAATGCAATTTCTCAATCTCTATATCACTTGATGCGAATAAAATAGGATGAAATTTCGACTCAGTAACAAAGTTTCGCGTTTTTTTTTTTAAATAGAAATTAAAATTTTATTCTTAATTACCTCAGTTTTTACATTATAATTGTAGAAAAATAAATTTTATTTTGGAATAGAAAATTTTAATATCCGCAGCTTACTCAGAACTACTGATAGGAAATGCGACTAGAAATTTAATGAAAAGGACTAATTCGTGAATATTATTAATTTATTTATAGTTGAAGTACCATTTTTACAATATTTATATACAACAAAGGTTAAGATTAATTTTTTAAACGTTTGTAATTAACTTTTTGTTATATCCAGAAGTGATCCTGACGCCACCAATAAGGCCCAGATTATCTTATCACAACGAAGCACCGATCGCCTTCACTCTAAATAAACGAACGTTGTATTATATTATTCGAAGTTTATTAAAATGTATTGTACTTACATTGTCGACACTAATGCGAACCCTAGTCTCCTTGTGGATTTCAACTTCCTCGCAAGATCAATCTCACGAGAACTTAATTTATTTTGCACTTTCACCTCGACTCTCAAAATTGAACTTGCTCCTTTTCCCCACATTAATTTCAAAGTAATTAGTCCTACCCCATATCTGCGGTTACGTCAGGAAGTCTTCTAATGACCTGACCTTAACAAATACGTAAATAACTAATAATAATAAATAATCAGGTAATAATGCTAAACTGACCTAAAAGACTCCATGACGTCAAAATAAATCTTAAATCTGCATCAACGAAAACTTTAATTTATCAAAAACTTTAAAATATAAAACATATATAACGCAAGAAAATTAATTATAAAATATAAATTAATATAAATTTATAATAACAGAGATAATTGAAAATATCAAATATTAAAAGAAATTTAGATAATTTAAAAAATTAATTAAATCAATGAGAAAATGATAATTAAATTAAATCGTAAATTCCATGAACAAAACTATATTAATGGTTTCTTAAAAAAAATTCCTTTAAGGGGTTACATGGGTTTACTCGGCAAAAAAAAGGACTATTTTCAACAATTTTTTTTTATATGAAGAAATAAATATTTTATTCGTAACTTTTTAGTTCTTTAAACATACATATTTAAATAAGAATTTTATAAATTTTTGAAGAAAAATATGCAGAAGTCAGCCATTGAGACGTCATTTCCGGTGACCCCTCGGAAAATAAGTACGTCCGCGTTGACAGCACAATTCCTAACAGAATCATCTGAAATTAAAAAACCAAAGATTTTCTTTTAGTACAGACCTAAAACTAGAAATTGGACGAAGGGGGAAAAAAAGTATAAATTTGATTTTTGGCGCACCTTTTTACAAAAGAATGCAAATTTTGATCAAATTTTCTCAACATTTTTTTTTTTTTAAATAGTTGTAATTGAAGAAAAAAAAAATCCTTCGTCCAAGTTCTCGAGAATTGTATCTCGAAGGCCTGTGCAAAATTTCATGAAGATCGGTTGAGTAGTTTCCGAGAAATTTTGACAACCGACTTTAAAAACACAGTTTCGAGAAAAACGTATTTTAAGTTTTGAGTACCAATAAAAGTGAAAAAAAAAGATTTTTTTAACTTACATTGAATCGTCGATTCCTGGGCCATAAAGTAAACTGCCTGCAGCAGCTGCAATGTCCAGGGCATCCTTCTGTTCCTGTCTTTGGCGAATTCTGGCTTGTCGAGTCTCTGTCGCAGATTTTTTTTCGGCTGCGCACACACGGTTTTCGTCTGTGGTTTGGGCATATTCGTGGGAATTTCGGCCAAATTTTTATTCGGATCGATTTAAAAATTTCGGACAATATTTTTGAGATGTTGTATAAATTAATAAAACAATAAAAAAAATTGATTTTTTGAAGCTGCCAAACCCATGTAACCCCTTAAAATCATCTGTAAATGATATGACTCTTTTAAATTTAATTAATTTTGAAGTACCTCGTCTTTCCTCACGGAATTTTGAAACTTTTTATATAAACAAAGATAATTTAATTGATTGTTATCCTATACACTTTGCGTGTTACCATGTCAATCAACTATTCAATACTATGAGACCTGACTTCAATTTATTTACTGAAACCCAATCTAAAGTTGAATCTCTTAATCGATATGTAATCAGCCTACGAGGAAATATTAAATTCTATATATAAATTTACTATGTACTATTTTCTTACAACTTGTTGTTACTCGTTTATGGTTCTCAAGGGACTGCGGGGTTATGTATTAAATAAATAAATATTTAACCTTTTGCCTACGATATCTTATCCTTAATCTAGTGCCATAAAACGTAATTCCCATAGTTTCCACCAGGCGTTCGATTTGTCAATAATAACGGTCATCTTCATAGCCAGAAGGTTAAATCATTCATTTACTACTCTCGTTCCAACTATGTTTTCAATTTTCATTAATACTCCGTCAAATTTTGTTAACATGGTTACTCCCAGATGAAGAAACTCCTGACCTCCATAATTTAGTGCAATATTGCTGTTACATGAAAATTTGGTTTCTAATTCTGGAATTGAGTTTATAAACATGAAGATAGATATGAAACATTTGAAATAAAATAGAAAAATACCAATTTAAAAAAATTAAATAAATTTACAATTGACACTGTGAACTTTAAATGAATTAAGGTATTAAAGTAGTTTCATTTTTCGTCACCAGTTGGCGTCCGATTTATGTCAATGGGGACCATTATATGTAATGTTAATCCTAGAGGGCAGCACCATAACAAGATAATATTTTTTTTTTTTATTATAATATGTACTTATTTCATAAAATAATTATGGTATCAAGATGGTGTCTTTGTTGTTATTTTCAAAAAAAAATTATAAATACATAAACATAACATTTATACTAATCCAACAAATGACATGTGTAAGCATGCTGAAATATATTTCATCTTGTTGATAATTCTTTAGATCTATAATAAACAAATTTCATTCGTAACTTCTAATGTTTCGTAACTTTCATTGTTTTTAATTATTCCATCGAAATGACTTATGTACATAACCTAGAAGATTTTGTCGATCAAAAATTTGCACCTATTGCATTTTCCCAAAACATTCGACGCTTCTCATCTTTTGGGAAGGTAAATGTGGCAGTTTGCTTTACACAAAGGGACAAAAAATTTAACCATTATGTAAGAAAATCACTTAATTTAAATTATATAACTTTTTTTAAATTCTGACACTTTCCATTTACCACGCTGGCTGAATAATGACTGACAAAAACAGTTGATCGTATCAGTCAATCTCCTAAAATCTTTAAATAGTTATCTATGCTTTATTATAACCACTATTTTTTATTTTATGATTTTATTCGTCTTTTAAATAAAAAAAAACATTTTTGTATTTGTTTATTTAATATCATGCAACAAATCCGATTTGAAATTTGGCGCTTTAAAATCATACAGTGATGCTGCTCCCTACTGGCCGAGTTTGGCCTTAAGGATCCCCAATCGGAGACGCTCTCTGTTGGAAATTTTGTTAACTATTAAAAACCATGATCTAACATGGTTGTTTTAAATTTCAATTTTAGTATTTTATACTAATTGGTTTAACAAAATATCACAACTTTATCACATAAAAGCCGTTCCTTATCATATTTTAGACATATTTACAAAATTCCAGATAAATTCATTGAATATTTTAAAGAATAAAGTTTCCGGAAAAATTGACATTTTAGGAATCACGTGAGCCTAACAGCACTGTTAAAAAAAATAACAAATGTGTGATATATATGAGGCGCGAATATCCTTAGAATCCCACGAGGTCCTTTACGCATCCACGTGGTACATCTGCGCAATGTGCTTTTGCCAACACGTGCTTGCAAGCTATGATAAGGACAAGCCACTCGGCAACCCTCGGAACGTCGAACCGGCTCCGAAAGCAGGCGCGAATCAAACCGAATGAAGGGCAGTCGCGCGTTGGCCGCTGTCACGGGTAGGTCCTAGTTCTCGATCAGTTCATTTTTTTTAGAGGTTATGTTTATCATTACCACAACAACAAGAAAGAACAAATCATTCACGAATGACTTAATGTCTCAATTATCGTCTATCTTCCCCTCTATGGTGTTCATCAACTCTATTTAATACTACATTCATCATTCACGTTGCTGTCACTATTTTCTTCATCATCCCTCTACGAACATCCCGAACGATCACCTCATGTGTTTACTCTTAGTAAGTTTACTTTTATATTAATTTTATTTTTACAATTATTTAAACATTCTAGTTTACTTTATTGGATAAATTTTATTATTGTATAACCTTTTTTATTTATAATTTAATTATTGAAAGCTTTTGAATGTATCATAATTATATGGTTGGAGATATCCAGTGAAATATTTAGTGTAGTCAACTATTAATTAGAAGTATTTTTATATTAAAATACATTTTTTGCAGCTTCTATTAATTGAAATTTTTTTAAACTGATATTTAAGAATAATTTTTGTTTTAAACTGATTGTTAGTAAACTTTTTTTTTTTTGTTTTTAATGCAAAGTTATATTTAAAAATATGGGATTCTAAAAAACTAATTTAGGGCACATTTTTTCATTGTTATAATTCTCAGTAACTAATTCCATTGATTAAACTTAATGGAAATAAGCAACAATTTTTATAGAAATATAAAATTTTTATTTAATATTATTCTTTCCGTTTTATTAATTTGTTTAGAAATGTTTTTCTTCTAATCTATTTTATATTTTCTTCATTACATCGAAGTTATACTTTATTCTTACTTAATTTACAATTATTTAAATTTACGATTAAACTAAAAGTACTAAATTTTAAGAAAAATATTCTTTTTCCATTATTATTTTTCTACTTTATTCTTTTGTTTACGTTTTTTGAAAGTTTTTTTAGGTTCTTTAACTTTTTTTTATTATTTTTTTTTTTAATAAACTAATTACTAATTTTAGTGTAGATTATTTTGCGTATTTTTAAAAAATTTTTTTGTATTTATAAATTTCAAAATTCTTCAATTTTATTGAATAACATTTTCAATAACATTTTAAAGAAAAAGAGTATTTTATACACGAGGAATTTATAAATCTATCAGGAAAATATTTATGCATTTATCAAAGAATATATATATAAAATCCCCTCTTTCATTCTCATTCCCCTTCCTTTTGTACAGAAGCCCCTGCAAGAAGACTTTTACTCGTACTGCTAAGTACCCTCCGGCATTTCTCTTTATATTTGCATCTATGCGGACAAAGAATCATAACAAACCTTGATATCCATATTTCTTGAAGACAAGCAAAACAAAACAACCCTCAAGGATAATGGCTCTTTTCCAATCAATAATATTTTCTTCATTTTATTAGACTACCAACATCCCCCTCCTTTTTGTATCCCCTCCCCTCTCTACTTTCCCCCTCTCTATTTTTGTCACTCTTCTCTCTCTCTCGCCCTCCTTCTTTCTTTTTTCTTTCTTTCTTCTTCTCTCCTTTTCTTCACTAATTTCGTAAACATTTTCAAACCACACATATCCATGGGTAACGTGAGAGCAACGTATAAAAGCAATTTATCTCATACATGAAAATGCGATTATTAAGCGATGTAGGTACTCTTTCATTGCATCCACTAAGTAATAAATTTCACATTAAAACGAAGTTTTACACTTTTCCTGTTTCTGTCATAAAACAAAGCAGTAAAGTGTGTAATACCATTGTAAAATGGAATTACAAATCACTACTCTATGTTTAATTATCTTATGTTTGTTTATTCCGAGTGTATAATTATTTGATATAAAATATAATGCTAATTATTTAAGTAAAGATAATCAAAATATGGAATATTATATTAATTTATACGTATTCTAAAAAAAAAGGAAACTTTTAGACGTTCTTCAAACGGACCAACATAACATTTTTTCCTTTTTTCAATGTTTTTTTTCTATATTTTTAAAAATTTTAGTAACGTATTTAATTTATGGAAACTTATTCTATGATGTTTGAAGAGTATTTAGATTTTTTTTTAATTTTTAATGGATGATTAGTTTAGAAATGGTGGAGATTTAAAGATGCATAGGGTCTGACAGACCCAGTTTGCGCTTTGTGCTTAAAATAAGAGATATGCACGTCGAGGGTTGAAAATAATAAAAATAACAATAATAATAATAATTATAATAATAATTATAAATTTCACTAATTTAAATTAGTGAACGAATTCTATCTAATTCAAATCTAGAAAATGAGTTATAGTCAATCGATATATATCGAGAAACAATTTCTTTTACAACGTATACTCTGATTATGAACTTTTTGTAGTTTTTAGAATTTAATTCTATTTTTTGAGCTTCTTTATTGTTTCTTAAATTTGAAAGATTTTTGTAAATGGAAAATTATTTAAACGGAAATAAGTTTTCATCAAGACGACGAATGTCATTTCAATACGTTGGAAAAGTAGATCACTGATTTCGAATTTAGAGTCATATTTTTGAAATTCAAAATGGCGGCTCCAATATGGCGGACTAAAAATTTTAATTTTTATTAATTTCTCTGAAATTTGTTCCTTGAGGGTTTTCGGGTTCGTTGCTTACGAATATGGTATCAGATTTTCAAAATTCAAATCGGATTAAAATTTTTATTGTATTCCGACTTGTCTGAAATTTGTTTTCTATGAATTTTTTCTGTCAATGATTTCAAATATTGAAATCCTATATTCAAAAATTAAAAATATCAGACTATAATTTAAAATTTATACTTCCTCGTCTGAAAATTGATAGTCGGGACTTTTTATTTGATCGTTAATTCGTAAAATAATATTAGTTTTCAAAATTTAAAATAACATTAAAAAATTATAAAAAATAAAAAAAAAAAATTTTTTATCCTATTGGTCACAGAAACGTATCTTTGTACTAAAAACGATCCTAAAAAAAGTTTTCAAGTCGTAAATGTCTAAAGAAATGACATTCTAAGAACGTCGTATATATGTTCTAAAAATGTTTTTGGAACATAAAACATTTTTTTTTTTTTTTGCTTTTAACGAAATAAATTCTAAAGTCCTTTTATTTACTGACTTGTCGAATAAAAAAAAGCACAAGAAGCTAATTGCTTAATTTTTCATGCAAATTCAATTCAAATATATTTTACTTTTTTTTTCTCTTTAATTGCCACAGGACATTGAAATGACTTTCGTTAATTACTATGAATACTTCTAAAACTAAATTCTAAAATAGAAATAATTCCAAAAGAAAAATATATATATAATTGTAATATTAGGTTAAATTAAAAACTGAGACAAAATTAAGAAAATTTTAAACAAACATTTTTTTGAATCCTATATATATGCAATATATTTTCAATGGAATCGAAAAAAAAGTTATTTAATTCTATTCTATTTTAATTCTATTTTATATCTTTCAATCAAACTAAATTTCATCCAAATAAAAAGCAATTCCCAGGTTACAATCCACAATAAAATTTTTAATTTAATTTCACTATCACGCTCAGTGAATCAAGGGTTTATCTGAAAGTTTGATTGAATATCCAGTTTCTAGTTTAAAATTGTATTGTTATTTTATCCCTCGATAATTGTTTTTCGTTATATTTAATTATTTAAACGATTTTTTTTTTATAAATGATGTAAAAAGTTTATTGATAATAAAATGTGTGTTTTAAATTAATGTTGCTTTAAATTTACTTCAAATTTTTACTAAAAACAATAAATAAATAATTATTATATTAAATATATAAATTGACAAATTTTTCAAGAGAAAAATTTGGGGAAAATTTGTTTATATCAAATTCTTAAAAAGAACATATAATAAATTATAATTAATTTATAATTTTACAATAAAAATAATATCAAAAAATTTCTGGTAGAAAATGCTTTAAAATTATATAGCTACGAATCAGTGAGTGTGAACTATTTCAATTAATGGAATGTTACAAATCACTGACGAATTAGCGGTTATGCACCTAATGTAATTATCAATATACATGTATTAAAAGAACATATTTTAGTGTTTGATAACATTATTAAAATTTATTATTATTATTATTAGTATTATTTTATGGTAAATAATTTACAATAAAAAACTAAAAAAAAATTATTTTTAGTATTATTATAATTATTATTATTATTATTATTATTATTATAAAATATATAATAAATATTCATTTTATTTTAAAAGACAGAACATTAATTTTACTTAAAAAATTAAATTATATTTTTCCCTAATTTTTTTTTTGTAAAGCGATGAGAGGAATCCCCACGTCCAAGAAGCAGCGCCTCAATGAGATATAGTGGCGGCTTAATGAACTAGAAAACAACTTGTTTACAGTTTACCGCTTTATTTATATCATTTTTGCATCTAATTATAGTAAATGAATAGAAGAGCGTTGTTACTATCACATAGAATAAAAGAATTCATTTATAATATTTAGTTTCCTTAAAAAATATGTTGATCAAAAAAATTTCCAGTTTGAATTAAAAACGATTGTTTTAATTTTCTAAAAAGAAAACTAAAATGGAGTTACTCTTTGCTTTTAAAAAAGAAAAAAAAACAAATAAGCTGCATTTCAAAACAATTTTTATTCTTCTCTTTCTTCAACTGGAATATAAAACAAAAACTAAAGAAAAGAATTTAAAAAATGATATTGCAACGATGCTTTTGGTGACTAGGTTATAAATCACGCAGAATAAGTGACTGCGGAGTATAAAAGTGAGAGCAGAAAGGCGGATCGAATGACGCACGACAACGGAATAGAAGAAATTTTCCTTTTAAAAAGTTAAGGAGAGAAAGAATTAAAATAAGAAAAAAGAATAAGAAGAAGGGAATCTAACCTCGTGATTAAGGCGACTCTACGCGGTCAGGAGGAATTATCGTCGAATAAAGAGTGCGACGATTAAGGGGGGAAAACTGCACTCGACGGAAAATGAATCGGAAGAAATTTCGTTTAACGATCTACCCTCTCTCGCTGCTTTTGCTTCTGCTGCTGCTGCTGCTGCTGCCTCATCGCAGAAATTAGTAAATGAAAGAGAAAGTATTTCACTCCCGTTTCCCCCTTCTCTTTAACTTTCTGCTCTCTTGTGCCAACACATTTATATTTCCTACTTCAGCTTATATTGTAAATTAACTAATTAGCAGAATTCGTATAACTCGCGCGGAGAATTATAAGGAGCTCTTACAAAACGCATCCTCATTCACCCAAAAAAAAAAAAAAAAAAAAAATGTTGAGTTTATAAACTGTCATTAATTCTTGGGTCGATGAAAAAAAAAGAGAACAACAAAAATCTCATGGTATTTATGTGCACTCGAGGATTTTAATATAAAAGTGCGGTAAAGTTTCTCTCTAATTGTTGAATTCTTAGTCTCCCCCCAGTTAAAATGTCTTACTGCGTAACTTCTTTTTACCATCAAGGCGGGAAAAGGAGAGAGAGAGAGGAAAAACACAGTTTAATTGGACACTTTTCTTGGACTTAATTGTAATTACATTCTCTAAGAAATAAAGTCGACGTTCAATATTTACTTGGTTAAAACTATACTCGCGCGCAAACTGTTTTATCGGTGCAGCAGCAAAAAAAAAAAAGAAGAAAAAAAAACACAAACCAATGTACATTCTCAAACGGACTATATACAAAGGAACAAACAAATTGAATGAAATCCCTCAGACAAATTTTCTCACTCTCGAGCCAATCCATTTACAGAACTGACTTTCTGATAGTTTTCGACGTCTCTTATTCTTTACTTTTTTCTTGTTTTTCTTCTTCTTTGCAACTATTTTCACGCGCAAATCTTTTTCAAATTAATACTCTTCCAAGAGATCAAACAAAATGAGATTTGTTTTTAACTAAATTTTCCCATTTTTGAAAAAATTTTAAACTTTATAATAATAGATATATATATATATAATTTACACATACCAAAAGTTGTTGAAGAATATTTAATTACTAAACAATTGAAACAACAAGAGACAATACACTTGCACTTCTAAACAGAATCTGAGAATTCATGACAACCTCGGAATATGGGTCAGCAAATTTCAGTTCTCGAGGAGTGGAGATAGAGGGTATATGCATGGTGAATCTTGCAGTGTTAGACTAATGTATCATGTACGCACGAATAAATCTCTAGAAATGTATTTTCCAAATTATTTACAGTCACATAAATAACAATAAAATACGACAATTTAAGGATAAAAGTTTTTTAATTAAAATACTTTTTAAAAGTTTTTTGCGCACTAAAACACAAAATTAATTATAATGATATAAATAGCCATACTATTTTATTATATAAAATATTGCTAATAAATATTTTCTTTAGTATGATATTAAAAAGATGTTGTAATAATTAAAAATTAATAATAATAATTCTTACAACTTTAGATTGTCACATCCTCCAGAGCAATCAATTGAAAGGTAGTCATCCGAGATGAGCTATGAAGAAAAATCTGGGCTGCCTTCTAGCCACTGTTTCCATTCTTCAGCTAATTCAACTAACCTTCACCGTCGAAGCTCTACCCCCCATTGTAAAAATTGGTAAGTCATTTTTAAGCAATCCTCAATCAAAAAATAGTTATTTCATTTATTCTTTAACGGAACATTATTGCCTCCCTAGTAATTTTATTCATCATTGAATGATATTCATAATTTGTTCTATGAGATGATTAAAAAAAAACACTGAATAATTTCTAGTTATTCTAGGTGGAACATTCAAATTAATCATTGCTAATAACGTTGGGCATTGTAAATTGTATTAGAACATTTAAGACTGTTGAGTTATTAATTTCCACAGGATAAAACACTGAAATTTGTTTAATATATTTTAAATATGTTTATTTAAATATAATAATATTCTTGACAATAAATACAAAAAGTATAACCCGAAACACGAGTAAACGTACTTACTCTGCTGAAGGTTTCTTACAGACTAAATTGCAAATCATAACTGGATCTTAAGGGTGACTTGGGGAAATAAACAAACGGTTCCTCAGCTTAGACATTGCTATCAGATGAAAAATCCGCAGAGCAATTAGAATCCCTATTTGCTAATTTATATTTAGAATTCATTATTTTCTAAAAAGGGATCATTTATCAAATTCTTAAATTATTTTCTTTATTTATATATATGTTTACGTGTCTACAAACACATATGTATTTAACTGTACGATCATCACTTTGAATGCGCGACATAGATTAATTTGCCATTTCTGAAATTTAACTGCGCACTTCCCTTGTCAAAAGGGGGTTGAACCACGAATCTTCCGGATGTTTTCGCGAACGTCTGGAAACTCTGGAATTTACGTTAGAGAAGCTATAAAGTCATGAATTCCCCTACCAACATATATACGCGACATTGCGAATTACCATCATCCGAAATACTATCCGGAAATCTAGCATGTACCTCTTATACCCACCTTGCCAAATGTTCAACAAAGAATGTCCGGTCAGCTGTGGATTTACACCAGATTTATTCTTAATCCTAAAATATATCAATTTATTTATTTTTATTTATATTCACACATTACCTACAGTCCAATAAATGAACCAAAAATTACATTGGAGCATTAACGATAGGTGTAGGAAAATTCTTTAAATAAAAAGATTCATCTGAATTTTCTCAACATCATGAACAGAATTAATACTAAAGTTATTTTTATCCACTCGTGTTACATAAAATTTTAATCTCCTGAATTAAAAGGAGAATTCTTCTCAGACAAATATCATTAAATTAATAATTGTTCACGTGGAGAATTTGAAGAAATCAATTTTACATTCGAAGAACACGTCAAAAAAAGGATCAATATCTTCGGATACTATTGATAAATTTACTGTCGTGAAAAATTGAAGTTATCATATTCTGTTGTAATCTCCTCAAATATATGTATGTTTCACTTTATTCGCGAAAGATATGGATCTAAACCGATGAATACAGACGAGTCATATGACAACTTACTTGGCCACCTGCAACCGCTTCTTTATAGTAACTGTATCTGATACACTTGAAACAATTGTAGATCCATGCGGATATTGAATGTCTTTAAGTCTATATTTCATACCTCGTAAGCCCCCTCGTTTTCCATTTCCTTATCTCTATAGACATACTTTCTATCTTCCAATAAATTTCATTCCTTCATCTTCTTTTTATTCAAATTGAATTTCCCCCAAGGCTCCCTTGAGACAAATGCCCCTAAAGCTTAGGAAAATCTTCTTCAAAAACAACTGCATATTTAATGCTAACATTACTTGATAATTTTATCATTGTAGTACATATTTATAATATTGTAATCATTCGGTGGAATTAATTTATTATTTAATTCTCGACAAGTGACAATTATTATAATAATTAGGAATAGTTTTCTCATTTTTTTTTCTTTATAAATTAAAATTTTAATGCGAATTAGTATAATGAGGCTAAGTTCATAGCAATTTTTCATATTCATCCGGATGGAACTTAATTATTTCATGATGAGCTTTACTGGAGCAATTATACTCACCAGGAGCCACTAGGATTTATTTTCCTGCGACGAATTTAACTTTTCTTCGTATTCAAATTTCGTATATCATCTTCTCCATTATTATTTATCAAATGATTTTTAAGATTATTAAAATTAATGAAAATTGTTGAGAATAAATTTATTTAAATATTGATCCAAGTTTGAAATAAAAGATCAAAATCCCCTTTAAATGAATACAGACTTGGCTGCCTTACAAATCTCGTTTCAATCGATGATTCCACCGTATTCGAAAAAAGAAATGAATCTTGAAATATGTGTATAAATTTAGTTGAATTTATCATCTGTTCAAAATAATTTTCAATCGATGCTTTTTACACTGTAACGTTCAAAACAGATTTGAAATATTGTTGAGATTTGGTTTTCTATAAAAAAAAACCGTCAGTGAATATTTATTTAACTGTAATTTATTTAAAAATAATAAAATTATTGACAACTTGTACAAGAAATATATTTTTTCTGTTGAGTCTTAGCAAATACGACCCAGTACGTCTTACTGTTTTTAATTTTAAGGAAAATCTACATAACCCTTGGAATCCGAGGTAGATACCTAGAGCCCATGCTGCCTTGTTATGTGGGGATGACCGTTCTTGTTCTGGTCGACCCACTAAAAACCACACACTTGGCTGGATGTTATGATTACTATTAAATTTTTTTTCCGAGGGAAGTGGAAAATCTACATAACCCTTGGTATCTAAGGTCTGAAGCTTGTGCTCCTAGGTTATTTGGGGACCCACTAAAAAGCAAATTTTTGGCTGAAGAGATCCTTATGCTTCGAAACTGCCGTTAGGCTTTAAACTTAGTAGGTGTACGTATCTGGGATTTCGCACACGCGACCATTACCGATCTTTCTGGCCTATTTCTTTTTTGTTCTTGCGAGAGTCTTCTTGGCTTCCTCAAGGGAAGATCTAAAGTCTTCGTATACTCCACTACCTGCGACGTGATCGGTTCTCATCTTCCCATTTCACCGTACGATGCATAAGAAGCAGCTAGTGCTCTTCTTACAATCTTACTTTATGCTGCCCAATTCTTCCATTCGGTCCTCCTTCTCTGGGTTAGTTGCACTTTCTTCGCTACTCTTTATATTATTTATTTCAGATCTTGGAATAAAACTCAAATATTGTAAATATCATAAATATGCTGATGATTTTAAATTTTATCTATCAGGCTCCCTATCAGAACTCCCTGAATTGATTAAATTAGTACAAATCGATATTAATTATGTTAAAAATGGGCTTGTTCTTAACTTGAATAAAACCCAGGCTATGGTGATCGTAAAGTTTTTATGGTATTACAGCAATTACATAAAACCAAAGATTCTCTTCCAACGTCAACTCGATTATTATTATTAATTAAGTCACTCATTCTTCCTATTTTTCATTATTGTCCAGTTTACGATGATATTACTGATGAAATAAATTACAGGTTGGAAAGATCTTTGAATGCTTGTATTCGTTTTGTTTTTTAATATCTCTGTTAAAGACGGAAGTTAATTAACAAAAGAAAATAAAATAGATAACTTGACGAGGAATAATAAATATATAGAAAAAAAACTATTTTTTATTATTTAACAATTCCGCTTATTTGGAAAGCGTAAATGCTTTTCGCAAAACAATTTTAGAATAAGGTAGTGGACTACCTCTCAGTAAATTATTAATTCAATAAACCCAGATAGACGGTATTTAAGAGAAAATGTTAAAAAGAAACATGAGACAAAGTAATTCAAAGTGAAATAAATAAATGGAGTCATATTAAATTAACACTCAATTTAGTACAATTTATTCTCAATATGTTTGCTTTATATATGAAAAGAAAGGTTTATTACAAAATTCAATAATCAGTTTAATTAAGCTACTTGACTTACGTCAGGTCTCACAAATAGCAACCAGATAGATTCTATCTTCAAAAATACAAATTTCTGTTTGTTATGTAGGATCTTGGTGTGTTTGTGTATGTTTAATTTTATTTAAGAAGAAACTGTTTTATTAAAGTCAATTATTTAAAAAGACTCACCAGAATTATAATCGTAACAGAAAAGTATCGTATTACTCGTTGTTTGTCACTTGATACTTAGGTATGCGTAAGTCTTCTCTTATTTATTTTATTTATAATGAATTTCTCAATTAATTTCTATTTAACTTGTATATTTTCAAGACACTTGTATTTTTTATTTATAATCACAAATCAACCCTTACTCGGGGAATAATCAATAACTTCAACCACTTTTTGTGGGACTACTCCTTATTTTCATGCAATTTCAACAATGTTGCATTTTTAACTGGGGCAGTGATACATTCAATCACCTACTCTACTTATAATTTTCATTAATATTACTTAATCTTCCAAAGGGATTAAGTAACTGTCATATATTGAAGACCCACATTTAAATGATATAATAAGAATTTAGATCATGTTATTATTTTGTAACTTATTTCCGATAAACGATTCATTGTTGAATAAATTATAAGAAAAGACTTTTGACATGATTAAAAATAAGTTTGAAACAATGATTAAAACTATTCACAATAAGAATAATAATAAGTGTTGTGTTTTATATTATAAATATTCGAAAAATAATTATGAATAAATAATGATTAAAAAAATTATAAAGTGACGGAAATTCCGTCCCTAATAATCTCTAAAGGTGATGATATTACCCCTTAAAGAAATAGAGCTGGCTTATTAAATGTAGCAACCAGAAGACAAATTTTTATTGGAAATTTACAATACTCAATTTTTAATAATGAAACATCATCCTATCTTTATGAACTATTTAAATTCAGAACTCACAATATGAATCAATCAGGAGGGCTTTGAGGGAATTTTGAAAAATTAAATTAAAGATAATAAAATAATTTTTGGTTCATTACAATACTAAACATATTTAGTTATCATAATATAAGAAACAATTCCTTATTTAACAAAAGATGACAGTGAAAAGTAAATCCATGTTTTTTCCGTTCTCTTATAAAGCGCAAAAACAACGGATTAACCTTGAGCTGCGCGTTAAATCGGTGATAAGTG